ACTACAACTGATCCTGTTTGTTATCAACATCACTGGGAGTAGGGAAAGCATGACACAGCATGACCACAACTGATCCTGTTTGTTAGCAACATCCCAGGGAGTGGGGAAAGCATGACACAGCATGACCACAACTGATGCTGCTTGTTCTCAACATCACGAGGAGTGGGGAAAGCATGACACAGCAAGACTACAACTGATCCTGTTTGTTATCAACATCACCGGGAGTGGGGAAAGCATGACACAGCATGACCACAACTGATCCTGTTTGTTATCAACATCACTGGGAGTGGGGAAAGCATGACACAGCATGACCTCAACTGATCCTGTTTGTTATCAACATCACCGGGGGTGGGGAAAGCATGACACAGCATGACTACAACTGATCCTGTTTGTTATCAACATCACCGGGAGTGGGGAAAGCATGACACAGCATGACTACAACTGATCCTGTTTGTTAGCAACATCACCGGGAGTGGGGAAAGCATGACACAGCATGACTACAACTGATCCTGCTTGTTCTCAACATCACCGGGAGCAGGGAGACCAACATCAACGGAGTAGGGAGACCAACATCACCGGGAGTAGGGAGACCAACATCACTGGAAGTAGGGAGACCAACATCACCGGGAGTAGGGAGACCAACATCACTGGGAGTAGGGAGACCAACATCACCGGGAGCAGGGAGACCAACATCACCGGGATTAGGGAGACCAACATCACCGGGAGTAGGGAGACCAACATCACCAGGAGTATGGAGAGCCAGACCAACATAAGTAATCAGGGAACATTAATGTGGAATGAAACTCATCACATGAAATGTGATCTCTGCAGCCTCATTTCGTAACTACTGACATCTGCTTTTCTGTGATTGCAGCAAGTATGTTCATGTCACTATTTTGACTAGTACAAATTACCGAATCTACCTGATCGGGAGGGATTTCATAATACATATTGTAGCTGCAGTGGGGACAATATTGAAACTCAGATTCAGACCTTGTGAACAAATCAAGACACCATCAGCGGTGGGAACAAACATGAAGTTACAACTTCATCGGTCAAGTAGTTTCTGAGGAGATGTTAACAGTGAAAGGAAACACAATTTGAGGGAATTTAGGAATATGGTCAGTGTGCAAAGGTCAAATTAATGTCTAAACTTAAAATTGGTAAAAATAGAACATATATGTGGAGCCCCACTGCTAACTACCCTTATACCAAATGTCATTACATTTTTAACCAAATCTTAGCTCAAATTGAGGTCATAGTTTATACATATGTTCAGCCCCACTCCTAACTACACACGTACCAACTTGCACTGAATAATGGCCATAAATAGCTTTTTCAATATGGATGAAAATAGGATTTAAACCTCTTGAACAAATTCAGGAGTAAGGATTGGTGGAAACAAACGTGAACTTTCAGCTTCATCGGTCCAATAGTTTCTGAGGAGATGATGCTCGAGACAGATGACTCACAAAATTTGTACTTTACAGTCCAGGAAGACACATCCACACAAAATATCAGCTGAATCCATCAAGCCATTTCAGAGTAGAAGTTTAAAATGAAAACAGTTTATGGAACATAATGGACAGCCTGCCATGACATAATTAAATGAGGTGAAATGGTTACAGGGAAAGTGCACTTAGTGAAAAATATTTTCCAGAGTCATTTCAAATTTCTGTGATCCAAACAAAATGTAGACTTTATTTTTTGGGTTTTATATCATACATTAATTTATTTATAATGCTAAATTCCATGTGCTTATTTTCATTCTAATGGCTTTACTTCCTGTTTCATTACATCACTTGCTAGTATATTGTATGAACAAGCTTTCATGACCATAACAATGTATGGTGCAACAAGTAGGTAGCAGGTACAACAGTAACCAGCACCAATCATACTGCCATGTTTCAGAATTACCCCAAAGATGAAACCGACCTTGGACAGTTGTGCAACAACCTTTCATGTGGTAGGACTGGTAAAGATATATGCAAACATAAAGTTTCATGTCTGCAGAGATAGCCATGCCTCAGAAACTTCCAATGACATATAACCATGTTTTCGTAAAACCTGAATGCTAACCTTGAATTGACATGTTTTCAAGACAAGGTGACAACCTGGAGAAGATATATACCAAGTGTAATGGTACCTGCATTAATATATCTTGTGGAAGTATAACCACAAGTAACTGAGTGAGTTACTTTCCATCTTGTGACACTGCCCTGAGACATTCTCACTGCATTTTCCAATAGAATTCACCAGGTCCATGTGGAACCAGTCCACAGAAGGACATCTTTAAATGTCAAAAATCTTTGCAACATAGTCAAGATACAACTACATTTCACAATTACCTCAAAGGTAACCTTAGAATTTGTAAAGAGATCCATGCCTGATGAGGTAGCCCTGCTTCAGAAGCTGACAATGATATCCTTATATTCTCACTGTCAACAAAGTGTGAGTAGTGAGTGAGTGAGTGAGTTGGGTTTAACGCCGCTTTTAACATTATTCCAGTTATATCACGGCGTGTGAGTAAGTGAGTACCGTATTTTCTTGAGTATAGTGCGCACTTTTTTTCCAAAAATCACAGCTGTGTAGAAGGGGGTGCGCATTATACACGAATTAAGGAGTTTTGATGTTTTTGTCCCCCATGGAAAGACATTACCTTGAGCACGTAACACCGGAAATACCATGTCAACAAATCCATACTGAAGTACGCAAATTAGTCATGTAATTACACTGTCTGGCTATAAAAGGTGTTCTTTGTATATCTGGACTTATGTTTGTAACTTATTTTATAAATTTTATTCAAAATTCCTTTTAATATTGTTTTAATTAATTTCGGCCGAATCATGTGTGAAGCGATCGGAAGATCACACAACTCACCGTTATTAACAGCAACCACGGTCAGATTACCGCTATTGACGCCTTGAAACAAATTTTAGTTGACAGAGAATGTCTATCTAAATTAACAAGATATTGGAATATATTATTCCTGATAAAAAAATAGTTTCAGATATAATTTTTGCCGATCCTTACATTTAAAATCCTGTAAAGTTATATCGTGTGTACAGCTGATTGCTGTGTCCGGCTTGGTTTACGAGAAAACACACAAGGTAATCTTTATTCCTGGATATAAAACAATGCCTAGCAGAACAAAAAATACAATTTAAACGGTAAATCAACATGTCTGGTGATTTTTTATCTCAAATTTGTACTGACCAAGTTTCTCATCACCCGTTCGTTTGCCGGACTTCGCTAAAGGGGTACGGTGTAAAAAAAATTCTGCGCTTGGTATTCGAAAAAAAATAATTCCAAAATATTGAATCCGTTAGAGGGGGGTGTGCATTATACATGGGTGCGCACTATACTCAAGAAAATACGGTAAGTGAGTATGGTTTTACGTCGCTTATAGCAATATTCCAGTAATATGATGGAGGGGGACACCCCAGAAAATGGGCTTCACACATTGTACCCAGGTGAGGAATCAAATACAGGTCTTAAGCGTGATGAGCCAACGTTTTAAACGACGAGGCTACACCATCGCCTCTGTCAACAAAGGAAAAACTAACAATTAAGTCTGATGATTAGAACAAAAAATGTCCTCAGATGGAGAAACATGCCAAAGTTCACTTCTCTCAGTCTAGCAATTTCAAAGGAGAAGAACTATGCATTCTGAGAGGACTTGAAAGCATGGTCAAAAAAGGTACAAATTAATGTGTTAAATCCCACATCAAACTTAACAAAAACCAAATTTCCTTACATTTTGTACACATTCTTGCCACAAACGTGACTATGTCACCAGCCGCAAACAGCACAGGATGATCTGAGGGTGGACAGTACTTCTAGTCTCTCCTAGTATTTATATGAAAAGATATTTTGATCAAACCTGATTTGTGATGAGAATTCATTAAGTAATTAAACTCTACCTCACAAAACACTAAAATTGGGTCTGGATTGTATTGTATTATTTTCTTTTGAATAGCCTATTCCAAAATCTACTGGTAAAGGAGTTGTTTTCTGCTGACTGGTGCCACTAGAGTACCAAGCACAGAAAGCAAGCTCTCTATATTTCCATATATGGAAGCAAATGCATGCATAATTTTGGAGATGAAAAGCATACATTTATCAAGCAAATCATCTGCTTGTAAAACATCTTTGTTACTACATGCTAAATAACATTTGAAAGGTCTAGTCCTACTGTTTATACATATTAAAGTCATGTTTATCACATTATTTAAACTTTTATTCACAACTTAATTAGTTAGTCTTATATAAATGTACGCTAACACATTTATATCATCACGCAATGTGCAGCCCCAGCACTACGTAAAGGTCCCCGGTTGAAAGTGTAACAAATACTACAATACACAACAAGCTGCATGCTGTTTGTCCTACCACAAGTAGTGCATGTCAAATGTCATAAGGATACATGCAGAAACGACAACATGGACAAAATAACATTACAAAACAAGTGGAAAAGTGAGCGTGGCTCACTAATACCCCTGACCCGCCTAGTGTGTCAGTAGTTACAAATTAAATAGCTAGGATAGGGTTAGGGTTTGAAAAATTCATAAAAAATTGGAAAATTAATAACAACATTTTTTATCTTTTGACTGCACCCCTGCATTAACACAGATTATATGTACTAAGTTTGAGATGAATCCACTGAATAGTTTAAGAGAAATCGTGCGGACAAAGTTTTCGGACGGACGGACAGACGGACGGACACAACCTTGGTATAACTATATAACCACCAGTCTGGATTGATAATGTCAAAATTTTGTCATGTTGCATAAAGTACATGTTGAGTTTTCAATGTCAGATTTGTTTTGACTCCACATGATATTTCTTGTGTGTTATTTGTTGCATCTACAGTAGCTGCAATGCTGCAATGCTGCGACGCCATGCTCTAGGAAGTCACCGTGAGGCCCATGGTTTTGAGTTTGTTTCTCTGCTATGTAGTAATTGACAGTGTTTCGAGAAGTCCATGGACAGCAACCTACCTTTACAACTCTCACAGGTAAGCAGGCCATAGTGGTAGCCTGACACCTTGTCTCCGCACACTGGACACAGCTCCTCAAACCCACTCTTGATGTCCGGTGGATACTGGGCATCACTGCTGGAGGTGGACGCTGTAACATGGCAAGGGAGACAATCACCCACATATTCATCACACCACTTCAATTTCAGTGTAAACATTTCAATGCTTTAAAAGAGCTCTTTTTCCTGTACCCTACTCACTATCACAAATAGTGCCATGGCACTGTATCTCACCTGGAAATGTAGTCAACAGTTAAGGATGTAAACAAAGATGGACACTTAACATGAGATGCTTCAAGCAGTCACAGTGAAAATTGGATTTGAGCCTCCTGAATAAATTGGGGCATCATCATTGGTGGGAAGAAGCATGGGAAGTGTCAGCTTCATTGGTCCAGTGGTTTCAGGAGAGGATGCTTAGAGTGCAGGGGAATGCATCATTAGAGAATGTTAGGGCCCAAGGTAATGCATGCCTTAGACATTTACACTGTGGGGAACCCAGGAGCACTGCTGTGGTGCTCACAAACCATGAAACATGAACAGAGTGTGAAATTCAACCCCACGATCATAGGTCTCTCTACACACCACAGGAACTTTACTTGAGACCTGTAAAGATCACATGACCTACATGACCTGATGACCATACAAAACAAGCATGAAATACTCATATACCCCCCCAATATGACATGTCTGGTTGTGCAATGCATTTGCTCCTGTGAACTATGTTCACTGGACCTTTTTGTAAATGGCCTAATTGCAGCACTTTAAAAAGTTATTAGTGGTGTTGTTTTGCCTTCTGCAGTTTATGATAGAATACATAACTGTAATGAGTTGTGTTATTACTTAAACAATAATCAGAGAAGAAAGGGAGTTCTTGCTTTACTTAGAGATCATTGAGAGCAGGGGTCAACGTGAGGTGTACTGAGAAGTACAGTACCAATCATCTGATGATCTGAGTAGAAGACTGGAGCCTGGAATGCTACAGCACTGGCATGATCAGTAAACAACAAGTCCAGTGTTGCTCCAAGACAGTGAGTTTGACAGTGAATGAACTGAGTCATTTTCCGCACATTAAAGAAATCTTCAAGTTTCAGAGTATTGTTTCATGTTACCACCATGCACTGCAATGAAGTATGCTGCTTCACGTGCCACTTGTAAATTGTGTTTTCACAATAATTCACCACATACCCTGTCCAAGTTCCTTTGTCAAGTGATATACATCACAATTAGGTAATTATGGTAACGGTTCTCAGACAACCCTGCGTAGATGTTTTTGTAGAATATGTTAACAGTTTCTGAGTTATGCTCTTGCTAAGGAAACATTCGTTAAAACCTCCAAACCATCAAAAGGCACCAGTTTACCTCTAGACCTATTCATATGCCAAGTTTGGAAGAAATATTGTACGGTTTTCAAGATCTGTGCCATGTTTCGTGATTTTCAGTCTAAGTCAAAGTCACTGCCATGGAAACTCAAAAAAAATTGTTTTTAAAATCCCAAACTATCAAAAAGCACCAGTTTACTTCCAGACCTATAATTTATGTGCCAAGTTTGGTGAAGAAATATTGAATTGTTTTTAAGATCTGTTCCGGAAACATAGACTACCGCTATTTTCAATCTAATTTAAGTCAAAGTCGTTGCCAGTCTACCTTATCAGTCAAGAAGTATCAGAGAAGAACATACTTAAGAGCATATAATCATAAAGCTCACAGAAAGGTTTGCATTCGGTCAGTCTGCTCAGATTCAGAATAAACACATTTGTTAACAAATGAGAAAAATTCCAGTATCATGATATGTAAATTAGCCTGCGCTCATTCATCACTGTGCCGGAGTGGGATGACAGTTATGCAGTCAGCTGATACATTCTCACCAATGAAATGTTTTGCTTTGATATTCGCCATATTCTGTCAGAACTCAAAATATTCTGAATGCCAGTCAGTCACTGAGATTACGAGAACTTTGCTTTTTATAGCAACAAATATTTCCCATTTCTTATTTGGATTTTTGCCATATATCCTTGACTGCAAAGTTGTCAGGCTTAAAAAACTTGCGTCGTTGCACTCCTTAGACCAAATGTACAGGGTCAAGCCATGGTGACAAGGTGGCATACTCTCTGTTTGAGTGCACATGCCGAATAACGGTGATAGGAAGATAATGCAACACCCTCTGATCTGTCACTTTACACCTTGTTCCACGGTAAGGGACACGTCTGCTGGGCCTTGCATCATACGCATGTGATTTTCAACTCGTCTGGAGTCATGTTGATAGTTCGATAGATAGTGATATCTGCCTTCATGACATCTGTGATGAGACGCCCATGAAGCACACTCTTTTTTCCATGAATTAAGAGGATCAAACCAAGAAGACCCACAGTAGCTTCATGTGTGAGGAAACCAATTGTGGCAGCGTCATTGGCACTCATCAAACATCTCTTATAACAATCAAAAACAACATTCAAATAAACAGAAATGGCTAAAATATCAGATTTGAACCTCTTGAACAAACTGGGATGTCATCATTGGTGGGAACAAGCATGTGAAATTTCAGCTTCATTGGTCCACTGGTTTCTGAGGAGATGATGTTTCTGATGCATGACGGAAGACGACTGGCAAGGCCATGACATAAGCATGGTAAGCTTGCTTGACTTTAAAATAGTGCCACAACAATGAAGCTTATCTGGATATATGAAGTCCAAAGCATGTATGTAACAAAAACAGCCACTAATAAAAGTTGTCGTCAGCATTAGTATTAACATATTTTCTTCATAAACACTGAACTCTTATCATGCTTATTATTTGAACAAATTATGATGATAGCCCCGCCGCCTCAGTCCCTTGAATTCTCACCAACGGAGAATATATGGTTGATATCTATCTCCTAGTTCCAGAGAAGAAGCCGTTTAAAGCAATAAAGCCAAATTACCCCTATCTGGCCCGGCCCCTTGGGAGGTCAGCCCCACCATTTGTACACTTTTGAATCCTCACCACAGGAGAATGCTTCCAACCATATATGGTTGATATCTATCTCTTAGTTCCAGAGAAGAAGCCCTTTAAAGCAATAAAGCTAAAATAACGTACCCCTATTTGGCCCCGCCCCCCAGCCCCTGGGGAGGTCAGACCCACCATTTGTACAATTTTGAATTTACACAACCAAATCAAACACTGCCTTCACTTGAGCCCTGGAAACAAAAAAAATAAAACTTTCAAATACTCATTAACAGAGACAAGAACCAGTTCAGTGCATTCCTGATTAATATACAAAGTATTGTGAAGAAATATTGAACAGTTTAGGAGTTATTCTCTGGAACAGAGACGGTTGGATGGAGCCGATTTATGTATCTCCTACAAAACTCTTACTGGTACAGTGAGCATGTGGGAGGGAAAATTGGAAATTGGAGTTCTCTCTAGTTCACGATGGCCAGTTTAATTTTTTTGAAACAAAAAGGTTACTTCATTGTAATTACCGTATTCAACGTAATAAGCGCCCAGGGGGCTCTCAAAATTAGAAATGGGGGGCTCTTATTAGAATATTATTTTGGTGAAAAAGACAGAGTTGAAAGACAAATTTCGTTGTTATGCTGACAGCCTGAAATGTTTATATACGAGAGATACATTTTTCCAGAATTTAAATGCCCATAATTAAGGGTGCATATAACACACTAGTACGTATTATACGCGAATAAATAAGTGTTGTGTACATTGATCAATCGGAAGGGGTGCTAATTGGTATTGTTCACTTGCCAATATATTAGCAAATATCGCCGTGGGCGCTTATTAGAGCAGGGCGCTTATTATGTAGAATACGGTAACAATGTTATGAACATCCTCAAGTTAGTCAAGTTTGGTCTAATTCTCAGTAAAAAGATTGCTCTCAAGGCTTTGGGATGCAAGGAGAGACCCTGACCGTCCATCAGTGCCAATCACAAGCATGAAGATTTGTTGATGCAACCTTAGATCTCCACACCACACTGCCAACACCTTCTGAATGAAATGAATGAGTAACTGAAGTGACCTTGACAATTGAACCTACTGTGATTGGAGTTTCAATCTTTGTGTTTGAAATATGTTTCAAAATGTAAACTCTGATGACCTTGACCTTGAACAGGTCCCTCACACTGTCATCAAATCCACACACCCACCTGTGAGGCCACATACATCAAGTACACAAGCCTCTTTCCTGCCTAATTCACACAGAGTAACCTTGACGTTCAATATTTGCAAGTCGTATGTGAGAACTTATAGTTACCAACGTACCATTCACTGAGTTTCGGGTCCTCACCAATACACAAAAGAGTGCATAGGAATAATGAACAAGTGTATCATGCTGCAATCCCAAACTCAACAAAGCTGCAGTAAAATCTCCACAACTTGTCACAGCTTGTGCATACACCCCAGCAAGTTAAATGTCAATACTTGACAGTCAAGCATTGTAACAGGATGAAATATTGTATTCATGATCATGAACAGCAACCCAAGATCTTAGGATGTGGAAAATCATAATTTTCATTTCAGCTCACGTAAAACAAGTAGATATCAGCATAAATCAGAGCTGAAAAATATGGATCAATTAACAAAGCAATGTTTGTTAAACTGCAACATTAAAATTTTATATTGAAAATCAACAAGAAAGCAGCGTTAGAAATTGGCACTAGTCCTATATTCCTTGCCAAACAGCCCTGTTTAGGTCATATAAGGACAAGTAGAAATTTGCCATTTTGAAGGGTTTTGCTAGATGTTTATCATTTATAAGGACCAGTGGACTATAACAGTTAGTTTCTATTGCTGGAAAGGTGTTCGCATAACAGGCAATCAGGAGCACCTTTTCCTGAATGCCTAAACCTGTCCTGTCACAAAGATATACCGTGAACCATCATAACTTCACCACTTCAGTTCAGTGATAGTGACATCACACATACCCAATGCAGTACAACTCTGCAACAGAAAGTCCTAAGCCTCTAGCTATCTTAACAAAGTCACAAGCACTTCCAGTTTAATGACATCTCTTCTGGTTCACATAATCACTGTATGCTGGACACTGTACAACTTTGAAATAGAAACTCCTGTGCTTCTGATATTTTAAAAACAAAGTTGTAAGCAC